GACACTCTTTTCTTTATTTTATTTTTTTTCAATTTATAAAACACGGTTGCAGGACCAGCACCAAAACCTTCTAGTGACCTTAATACAAAATTTGAAATTATATGATAATCTTCTTTGAATTCACCGAGGAAGCCATACTTATTATTAGATAATATCTATATCTCGTGTACGTCCTATTAATTTAAATTCTCGTACTTTACTAGTTTATTAGTTACTAGTCTCCATAGAGTCAGTAACTCGTTCATGGGACGGTGTATACGTTTCTACAACAAAATCCCAGCTAATGTGCAAAGCCTATCTATTATCAGGTTTAAGAAATTTGTTCAAGAAAAACTTTTTAAAAAGGGTTATTATATATAGTATAAATGAATACATTAACGATAATCACCCCTGGGAATAAGATGCTCATAAGCTGTTTCTAAAAAACAATGTATTTGTTGAGAAAAAAAAATTACAAAAAAGAGGATACCTACGGAGTTTCTTTCGCCTGTTTCTTCTCCGTTAGAGGAACCTCATAACGAAACGGTGGTAGATTTAAAAAAAATGACTATCGATAAATGAAATGTATATTTCTTATTTCGATGAATAAATGATTTGAATTTGAATTTGAATTTGAATTCGTAAATTGTCAATATATCGTAAAATTGGGTTGTCATATTAGTTGTGATAACCCATACTTAGGATAAAACATCTAGACTAAAGTAACAGCCTATACATGTCCCACTGCTGGGCAAAGGCCTCCTCTGTACAGAGGGTATCAGGGCATAGTCCACCACGCGGCCCCACTGCGGATTGGCGGACTTTGCGCAGAGGCAATATCGTAACCAATGAGGTTAATCCGAGGTGCGATTATTGCTAGTTGAAAACATCTAGACTAATTTGTGGGAAAATATCTAGATCATTAACTATTTTGGTAGAAATATTTTAGCTCAATGTCGTTCATCAACTAAACAAGCAATTATTAAACGAAATATAAAATCGCACTACTTTCAAAAAGCTATTCTTTTACTATATTTTTGTCGTAAGCACCATATTGAAATAATGACACCGAATATATTCAAATCCGTCAAATGGTTCAGGTTGTAGAGGATGCGAAAAACGTCACCCTCCTTCGGCAGACCGGTAAAAAAAGACCTTACTTTGTTCACAAAGAATGACAACTCGTTCGCAACACTGCTCAGGCGGTGGTGACCACATACCTTTAGGGTTTTTTGAAAAAACTTATATGTGCACACAGTTGTAAGCAAGTAATCAAACCCCATCTAATACAAAATGTCTTTAAGCATTAATAGGTTTCCTCCGTCATTGCACCCTTCAGCAATTTTCCTACACTATTTATTTACACACCTAGTTTTAATATCACGTTAACCTTTTTTATAAACCTTAATTTAAAATAATCAGAAACCCGTTTATATCGATGTCCAATAAATAATCCTTGTAAGTATTTACTTTCTATAGGAAAATTGAAAGAGAAATGTTTAGAAAAATTCTTCTTTCTTTATGACAGTTCCAGTTCACTCACCCGTGCTTCATTCCCATTCGCAGTGACGGAGTGTAACATCGGATAAAGTTAAGAAATATCAGCGACACAGTAAGTCGAGAAAACACAAAGACAATTCAATAGAACCATAATCAATATAATTTTAAATAGTAAATAATCATTTAGTCACATTAGTTTTAGTCCTAATCCTTATGATCATTTTAACTGCATATGATATTCTTAAATTTTACCAATTTCTGAATATATGTGGGTATAATTTGAGTAAAAGTCAATGTTACATAAAATACACAAAAGTATCGTAATATATAATTTCATTAATAATACAATCTGTCATAAACTAAGTATAATGTTAGTAACCAGAATTTTACAGTTTTCACATTTTGTTATGAAAGACTAAAGGTCATCGACCTTATTTTAGTTTTCTTTCCATTGTTGAAGCTTCGCTCCGTCTAAATTTAAAACATCATGAGCGAGTCGTCTGTGAAAACTGTTATAAAATTAGATGACCCGTTATTCCATGCATACGTAATCATTTCGTCATTTTACAATTTCCTGCTCGTAGAAATAGTTCTAAACGGTCATATAGAAACAGATGTGCCCGAAGTTTAAGAGAAACAAGCGAAACGAAGCAAACAATAGGGGATTTCAACTATTTAAACTTCATTAATGAATTATGAAATAAACTTATCACCTAAATTTAATTACATAGATTGAAATCGTATAATATATATCGTTTACATAATATTCCGACAATACTCGTCTATTACCTGAATATTATGTTCATGAAATTAATAAAATAAAAAATGTGTCTGTTGACTGTTTTATTTTTTATTATTTTAATGATACTATATGAAGTGTTGATTTATATACCATACTCGTACCTCGATTAGGGTTGCAGAATTAAATAGATTTATAGTTGCCAGTATTTTTATTTAAGTAAAATGGAAATATAACTTCTAAAGGTTTGTGCTGCAGCTATGTAGATATCATCAGATTTAATATTAAAAACCAGCTAAGCTATTTATTATAGTCGATGGATGCAGGTGGTTTAGGATCTCTAAAGTACTTCGTAGAATTCAAGTGGCATCCAAAATTGAGTTAACTTTCTGTATTCCTCCACTGCTACGAAAATATCACTGTCATATTTGTAGCAGTCGGACGGCACGGTCACGTTCAAATGTATATCAGTAGATCAGCTTCAAAGATGATCTACTGATATATGGATTGCATTAGCTATTCCTGTCAACCTTATTAGAAATGTAAGACATGATCGAATATTATTTGTCAAAATTTTTATTAATATTGATTTAGGGCCATTTTGTTATAAAAATTAATATGTATCCTTCATAAAATGTTAAGTAATTATACGTGTATCTTGCCTTTGGGGTATAAAAATGAACGACTCTATACTACTATTAGCATAGACTCATAAACGTTCCATGACGTCTTTCTCTTAGTAGGACGTAAGACTAAGATTCATGTCTAAGGGCCATCTATACTAGCAATAAAATCACTTAATGAAGGAGAATAAGAAAAAATAATAAATAAATTAGGGATTAGAGAAGATATACTACTGAAGACGTACTGTAGGTTTCGGGATTTTATAAATAATTTTCTAAATATGTTTCTTAGGGGAAAGCCCGGATGTTTTCGTGGTGAAAGACGACATTGTTGCGAGGAAGCTTTTCGGGAACGTTTTTTTTATTAGAACCTTCTAATACTCTACGCAAGAAATAATTGTTAACATACCAATTTTCAATCACTTTAATTTGTTTTTCAAGTGACACTGCAGCCACGTCTGATTTTATGTCCCATGATATAACTAATTTTTCTATGTCTGATGTCTGATGAATATCATAGAAAAATGACTACACAAAGTAGGGATATGGTTGAGTGGATATGGATATGATATCCCTATGCCATTGAAGCCACTTGCGAATCTCTTATAATCAAAAGTAATTGCGCGAAAGTTTTCACGTTTTGAATTCATTATAAGGGACAGTTTATAAGACGCCACAATGAAAAAAAATTACGGTTTGGCAAATCGAAAGTTGACATGTGCCCAGAGCGTTATACTTTTGAAGCCCGGATTTGCATTTTCATTTATTTCATTGTACGGAATAATCTTAATCTTCTAAGAATCTTTATACTTTCATCTTTCAACACGGAACCCTACAGAAACCCAAGGAAATACAAAACTAATATTAAATGAGGTACTTTTTAATTATGTACATTATGTATAAAGAGCTATTTTTCTGAATAATGATGAGCTAATTACGAGCATGTTTGTACATAAAGAGTTACTCGTTTTGTTTAAGACATATTTTGTATTAATATCTGCATAAGGCCATCGAGTGTAGAGCTGTTGTAAACGGTCGATACGGATATGTAACGTCGCACCAAAGTTAATCGAAAAGATATAATCTTTTCGGTTAGTCGGTTTTGGCTTTTCATGTCGTAAGGAATTAAAGAAGTCGTTATTCGTGGCATTATCGATATTTCAAATCTTTCTGTGTAGTTATGTTTACGCCATGAAAATAGATCACTGCAATTTATCATCTAAAGAAGATAAGAATAATTTGAAATAAACGAAATGACACTGACTTTTTAAAATAAGTTCCCTTTTTGCGCCAATGCAAGTTACTTTTTAATTTGAACATATTTCACAGAAAATTAGATATCGATTTTCGAAATAAAGGAATAATATAGGGCGATAAAGGAATGATATATACATTTTAATCGGTCAGATTTTTTATTTTATGACTATGATGTCAAATCTATTAAATGATAATATTGCTCATTCGGAAATTTTGTCCTTGTTACGGTTAACTTACGGAGACAACGTGTATTCAACCCATCATATGTTTTGAGAAATAAATGTTATATAAATTTCGTGATGATTCAAAACAATATTTTCTCCCATAACACTCGCAAAGTAACGCCCTCCAAATCCTAGGCATCATAAATATTATACTCAAGATCTAAAATTCTTGGTTACTGCAAACCAAGAATTGGAACGCTGAAACTGATTTCAATTTCTTTGTTTTCTCTGTTCTTTGTTCCACACATCGTCGTTCCTTGTTTCTTTTTCGTGGCCTTCATTCACGAAAATGCAATAAAACCGACTCGATTTCGAGCCAAATACAACAAATTTGAGAGTGCAATACCATAAATTTCCCGATGCTAAATAATCACACACAATGAGCAATAAATTGTTTTTAACATACTGAACTAAATTAAATTAATCCTTGCAAGTTGTTATCAAAAAAAAAATTAAATTAGCAAATTAGTTTTAATTTACTTGCTTTTAGTGTAGACATAGACCGCATAAGATTAACCTCTCGCCTCATCAATGTTCAACATCACATTTATTATCTCATTTCGTTTCTCCTAGATCTTTTTGGAATATCTGAAAGATTTCATTGGAAGAAACTTTGTTAACAACTCATTCATAAATATTATTCTTTGCAGGAACTAATTAGTAATGGAGACTGACAAAATGTCGACAGCATCGTCGGCAGGGGCTGAGAGGAGGCCTCTTCTGCAGGCTTTGGTCATAGAGAGAAGAATCCTCTTTGCTTGCACAGTCCTCGTTGGCCTCTGCACTTTTGTGTGGATCACAGCTGTGTGTACAGAGAAATGGGTTCACATCGAAGGAGGGAAAGGTAGACTTCATTTTCCTTTAGAAAACACTTTTTGTATGTGTAACATTTTTTGAGCAAAGACATTTCATCTCCCGTATGTACATTTAAGTGTAGTCGAATAACCCCTTGTTAAGTTTTAAACTCGGTGCTAACATCGGACAAATGTTAAGGACCTATTTACTGGGTGCTGGACTGTAAAAATATGTGAAGCTAGTTGCAAAGTAAATTTTAAGTTTGTTGCTATTGAAAATACATTTCCAGTAAATAATAACCGTTCACGAGTGTCGCGACTACAATGTAGTCTAAATCGTACAAATATGATATGCTTTTAAACCTAAGCTTTTTAGCATTCTTTAAAAAATTATAACAACGCGTATTTTAACCTTTCATATTATATACGTTGGCGCAATCCTCTCATCACAAACAATCTTGCACGTAGAATTTTAGAATGCATTATAAATAAGATTTAGCTTTGCTGGCACGCAATTTTGTAAATATTTTGATGTCGTGGCACCACGTGGAGTTTATTTGCCGACGACCAGAATCCTCCAAGGTAATGGTCGATTTTCTCCATCATGTTTGAGCTAAGAGACAAGTTGCCGCTGCTAAGATTGCAGTGTACGGAATCAAAGGCGTGTATTATTAATTACGGTCGTGCGGTGGCAGTGAGATCAACGACCCCCGATCTATTTTGGTACGGAACCGTACGCAGATCGAGTAAGTGATTTCGTATAGATATAATCATACGGACCTATTTTATTTTCGGAAATCTAAAATTGTCTATGCAATTTGTTAGCGTGTGGCTGTTTTTATTAGCATTTGTCTGTGTAGTTAATTGCCAAGCTTCTTAATCATTACTATGCCACGTAATGTAACGTAGATGAAAAGAAATTACAGTTGTCTCTTTCTCAAAGTCGATCCTGTCATAGTGGAGCCAATAATTTATTACGGCGTACTGTAATTTATAATCGTGTAACATTTATAAAGGCTTTGCTATAATCTTCTGTTGCTTTTTATTACATACTTTAAACTTTTAAATATATTCATCTGTCTTAAACAAACTGAAAAAGTGAAACGAATTTGTTACGCGTGCTTTAAATTAATGGTCCATCAGACCATAGAAGTATCGGAGTGAGCATTCTTACTTTTTTGTTTTAGGGGTTTTCCTCCCCTCGAGGGGTGATTATTTGATGTGGAGCGATTCCGGGATGTGGGAGACCTGTAGATACATTTTCCATCCAACTCCGAGTTCAGCAACAATGAAGCACAATGGAACAGTCACAACCACCACACCGAAGCCATACGATGTTGGTGGCATCATAGGAGAATATTACACAAGTATGTTTTTTTACGTATATAGATTCACCTTCTCGTATTTATTTCCCCTTGTTATTTAATAATTAACACGAGCACAAAACCCATTTATGATTTTATTGAGACTTTTTTACTTGTATTCGGTTAAAACAAATTCGTCTTCGACTTTACCCCTGAGTACGTGTTGGCATTCGACAATGTAGCACATAATATTATATTATTTTATAGCACTATTGGTACAAACACAACTTAATAAATAACTGGGGTAGATATATGCTGTGCACAAATGGGCAGTCCCGCGAAGTACCTAGGCCTCACAGAAGACTGGCCTCAGTAGAAGGGCTTTTTCGTTTCGGCTTCTAATGGTTTAAAACACATCTGGGCATACCTAGATATTTCAGATGTCCGGGCGATAATCACTTGAAATCAGTTGAACTGCCTACTGACTTGCTATTTTTACACTCAAAAAAAAAAACTAATGAAAAATCTTATGTATATATTTTTATATAGCAACATACCACAACCATGCTGAAGACCGGCGCGAAGTAAACGTATTAAGCTTTTCCGTTTCGCCTTTTAAACGATAAACCGAAGCCCTTGTAGGTGACAAGTTTTTCCGTTTCGCCTTTTAAACGATAAATCGAAGCCCTTGTCACCTAATCACATAAAATAATTCGTTTTTAGACACATTCATTATTTTTTTTAATGCAGGAAGGCGCGCCTACTGACTGCAATTTTATTTCTTGTTACAATTTTTTTATTCGTTCGTCATAGACAAGCAGTGTCAGAGTACTAACAGAGAACAAAAAAAGATATTATATCCAGAAATAGTTTTACTTTTGTAGTTTGTATAAAATGCACACATTAAAATAATAAGCAAGTTGTAACGATTGTTGTAATCGATTCTGAGACTGGGCCAGTTTTTCTCTGTGCAGACTATATTAATATTTATATTTTGCTGTTTTACTTTTTATCTCCACGGAAGTGATAAATAAAAAGTTATAAACAGTAGGTAAACATGTAGATATTTTTTTCCGCAATCTATTAATAGTCAGTATTATCCAAATAATAATAAAATATAATATTTTAATACAAACAGTGATAAAATATATTTTTGAGACACTCGTTCACTCATACTCGAGATATAATGAGAAAAACTCGGTAATCATGCGATTTATATTATCGTATGGTACCCAATTGAATACCGCGCGGATAATTGTGTCATCTATCATAATATTGCTCCTATTTATCTATTTTAGACGTGTTTTTGGTTGCTGTGACAGTTTACGAGCTATATTATAATATTGTACATTAAATAACTAATTCAATTCTAAATTTCATAATTTAGAATTGTTGTTTATTTTCTTATTTTCTCTAAATCATAATTTTATTTCAATACGCCCTTGGACTGGCTTTCATACAATGTTTTTGTATAAACTGGTTATTTCTATATGGGTTGGAAAGAGAGTATTAATGCACTAACTAACAGTAACTTTAGACCAGATTATTTGATCTGTACTTTTGTGCAATACATATTTCTCTTTATTTTCTCAATTCAAATTATAAATACAATTAATCTCTCTTCGAAATGTGCTCGCTACGCTACGTGAAATTTAATCTTCCCAAAAGTGATTGAGGAAGCGATTGCTTACATTTTGTAAGCACAACGTTATTAAATTATATTTAAAATAAACGCTTGTCGGGCGGTAATACAACCATCGATGTATTGTGCCTCTCTGCAAGTAAATTACTTGAAAGTTGTTACCTAAATATCGTAATTCTTGCTACACAAATCACGGAAACCGGCGGAAGATCGCAAAGTGGTTTATGTGTAAGCACAGAGGCCTCCGCACGTTCATTTTTGACGGTTAACATAAAAAAAGAAGTTGATTTTAGAAATAAACAAATCGAACGGTTTACGCTGTTTATTTGGTTTGGTATTTTTTTAACTAAGAAACGGAGAAAATAGCCCCGATGGAAAAGTAAACCAGCGGGAGTTAATGGAGTAACTGAGTGAGCGAAAGCAGAAGGCGGGTCTGGAAAAACAAAACTAGAATCATCCAACCTTTACGCAGAGAGTGCATTAGTCCATTAACAAGGCTTGCTTACAAGCAAATCGAAGCTTTTTTGTCATTATTACACACATTTACTTACATTGTTTAGAGATTATCCAAACATGTCTGTTACGTTTTATTTCGATGTGCGTTTAATTTAATACGTTGTTTTATTTAATAGGTATTAAATTTTTATTTAGGAAAGATTCTAGAATAGAAACAAGCTGTGTTTTAGCGATAGAGAAACACAACAGCAATTATATTTTCAGTATTAAGTCTTTCATAGAAAAAACAAATTAAAACAGGTTAGAGCTAGTCACGGCTGGTCAAACTCAGAAAAACCGCCATTATGCTGGGTAGCCCCATTCATTTTAAGCAATTAAATAGGTTAACTTCCCTTTTTGGAGAGAAAAGTGATATAGGATAGTTTAAGAATTAAATCGCGCAGTAGTTTATTGGTAATACACATAGTGATTTTAGTTTGATACGTATGAAGTGCATGGATTATCAATAATTTCCATCAATAATAGCAAATTCAAGTATGGAATGAACGGAGCCCTGGATCGACGAAATTACACTATTTAATATTACCTGAAAGACAAACTAAAAACAAACGGCGGGGCTCCATGATATAATAAATTCTAAAAGTTTTTACAAAGTAATCAATTTCGGCAGTCGGTATGAATCTTCGCAAGAACAGTATGTTCGCCGTATTTATATGTTGTCTTTGTCTAATCGTATTTACGCGTTAGCGCCAAGATTTATTTTTGTCCTCTCTTTCTCTAAAACCAATTATTAACTTAACTTCAATGGTATATATAGTATATTCCACTAGCAACAACGATATTGATGACTATTATTTTCTTTTTGAATTTTGTGTAAGTGCGGTGTTCTCATCAATATAATTTTAAGTGGTATAAGTTTGGTGGATATTGTAATTTAAATTAAAATGTTTATTTTTTCCGGTGTAACAAATTAATTTCTAAATTAAAGATGTAAAGTGGACGTGATTTTAAAGTATCGACATTTAAACTCTTATTTAAAAAAAATATGTTTAAATCCTTCATGTATAATTTTTTGAAGTTAGTGTTTTCACTATAAACTTGCTCAATTATTTCCGTTTTATAATGCGCCAATATTATACGAGTATCTAGTACGGATAGAGATTCGCTCGGAGTTTTAACTTTCTGTAAAACCAAGTTTTTATTCAGTAAGATCCATCTTGATGACTCCGTGGCGCAGTTGCCAAGGTATTGGATTCGGCGTCGGGGGTCATGGGTTCGATTCCCACACGGGACAACTATTTGTCTTACCCATAGATAGTTGTTTCGCATCTGGGTGTTCGTCCACGTGAAATTTATGTTTGTAAAACGTCTACAACACAGGATAATGTTATCCTAAAGTAAAGGCAATGTTAAAAACAATAAAGAAAGAAAATATTCCGATGATAATACATGGCCATCTCACGATTCGTAATTAAAGAACGCTCACGTGAAAATATGTATTTGCACGTTAAAGAAATAATTTGAATCCCTTTTTATGCGATAAAATGAATAGTGAATAATAGTGAAAATTTTAATAAAATTATAATTTGTAAAAGTCAAAAGTAGATTAACATTGATCGACTACTAGTTTAAAAATTATTTATATTTCAATTCCTTCCCTGTAATACCACAAATATTTTTTTTTTTTTTTTTTTTTTTTATTTAAGTTGCCAAACGAGCAGACGGTTCACCTGATGTTAAGTGAATACCGCCGCCCATGGACATCTGCTGCACCCGAAGGTTACAGAGGCGTTGACAACCTTTTGAAAATTGGGCTCCGGCTACCTCACTCACCAGACAAACGCGAAAGTATTTGTCATACTTCCACTTTACGCTGGTCTTCTGTGAGGTCGTGGTACTCACCCGGACGGGCCTGCCCATTCGTGCAACAGCCGAGGCTGCTGCGTGACCCTACCACCGTTTATTAATTACCCCCATAATTTACGAGTTTTGCATAAAACATGTCTCTATTTACATAAATTACCTTGCTTTCCGCTCACCTGTCGTGTGGAATAAGTTTCAATTTGTCACAGATTTATTTTATAGCACAAATTACTTACACAAACTACGAACTCTCGTAAATTCTTTCGGAAATAACCAATAAATAAACACAGCACTTAAGTATATTATTTCTATAGGACTTTTAGCCAAAATTTTATTTTCGATAGACAAATTGATAACTAATTCCCTTAAAATTTATTTATTTATGACATCTAAAAAATTATGGAGGCAAGCCAACAGTTCTGATAAATCCCCTGAGCTAACGCCTAAATCTATTTAATGGTGTAAATATTTATTTTACGGTGTACTCAAGGCAGTTTCGTAATTTAAAAAAAAATGCCGGTAGATCGTCAATCTGCATATTCACACATACAATGTATCGGATTCTTATGTTGGTCAAAAATGCAATACGCGCAGTAACCATATTATTAGCATACGAGCTGATTGAATACTTTACAAGGTAAAATATTTTTTTTTTAATTTGGGCAATGCAAAAAAATCGTTTAAAGGAACTAAAAATCCATAAATTTATTTTTATAACATTGTCACTTCCATTTAATAAGATAAAATCAAGAAAATTAAAAACAGACTGAGACGCAATGGAAAAAAATTCAATAAAAAAAATAAATACCATTCAAAAAACCTCCACATAATATTGCCTGCGGTATTGAACTCATGATTGTTATTCAAAATCCGATACTGAACTTCAAAATTTTCTTTCTTTTCCCTTTTTTTAAGAAATTATAAATCGTTGTAAAACACCTTTTTATTTAATAACTTTAGTGAATATTTATGTTTAGATTATTATGGCTCTATTAAGAATAAGTGTTTAATATAAATTATATAAGAATATGTGGTTTCTGTAATAAATCAAAGAACGTTAAAAGCCTCATCATATTCTAGATAATGGAACTTCTTCAAACGT